CGATGTCATCTGCAAAGCAGAGATGATGTAAGTAGCGGCCGTCGACCTTCACTCCCATGCTTTCCCATTTCATATGAAGCGTGACGTTTTTGAGAGCAGCGCTGAAAAGTTTGGGCGAAATGGTATCGCCCTGTCGAACCCCTCTCTTCACGTGACTTCTTTATAGAATGGCGAGATCCTGGTCGTGAAGTTGTTGTAGAGCTCGCAAAGCATCCTTATATATGAGTAGGGACATCTGGTTGCTCAGGGCTTCAATTACCGTACTGTCTTAATGGTATCAAAGGCTTTCTTCAAATAGATGAACGTAAGACATAACGGCATTTTGTACTCCCGCGACACTTTAATGAGTCTTGTAAAGGTGTGGATGTGATCGATTGTACTGAACCCTCTCCAAAACCCTGCTTGCTCGCATGGCTGCCCATCATCTGTTATTCTACCAATCGTGTTAAGGATGACTCGTGTGAAGAGTTTACAGATTGCAGACAGCAAGCAAATTGGGCGATAATTGCCGATGTCGTCTGGACCTCCCTTCTTATACAGCAACACGGTCTTCTTAGTTTTCCACGAAGTGGGCACTTTTCATTGAGACAGGTACCGCGTGAAAAGCCGGGCCAGAGTTTTGACAATGACTGGCAGAAAGCTCTTTAGATATTTTGCTTTGATCCTGTCGGGACCGGGTGCAGTCCCATTCCTCATCGACGGGTGCCATGTCGAATTTTGGAAGCGAGAACATAAGGGACGAAGTATCCGTCTTGCCTGATATGGTAGGTAGGCAGGAGGACGTGGCTGTCGAAGAGATCAGAAGGAAGTCGTAGATGACTTTCTCCATTGCCCTTCATTATGCAGTAACAGTTCCGTTAGAAGACAAAGGAAAGTTATCTTGGTCTTATAATTGACGAAGCTCCGGCGGGCTTTGCGAATGCTCTTTGAGGCGTCTGCGACTTCAGTCAAAACTTCAGATCTTCCTTTATCGCCTCTCTGCTCAGCCGTTCTTCTGGGACCAATCTCGGCGTTGAAATCACCGACGATGACTTTAAAGAAAGTATGGTCTCCTCTGTAGAGCTTCTCTAGATCCATATAAAACGCTTCCAACTCCTCTTCTTCGTAGCTCGATGTTGGTGCGTAAGCAACGAAGATGGTTAGAGCTGGGATTGAGCCGCATCTTCTTAATCGCAAACGTCCGATTCGGGTTGTTAAGCTTTCGTACGAATCGATGTTCATGGCCAAGTGCGTGTTGACGAGGACACCTACGCCGCCGACGCCTCTGCTGTCGCATGTTCCAAAGAACACTTCTTCTCCAGTTTGAAATACAGCGTGCAGCGGGCGGTGCCTTCTCGTCTCCGTCAGTCCGATGACGTCACACTTGATTTTCCTTGCTCGCATCATCAGGCCTTCTATACAAGCTTCCGATACAAGCGTATGCGCGTTGAAAGTACAGATCGCCATCTTCGTTTTTCTTCTTTTGGGTAGCCTGTTTTGGCCCTGAGACTTTAGCA